GACGTGCGGTCAGATGAGGCAGGTGAGGCCCGGCCTCACAGCGATCATGGAAATAAAAAAGAATAAAATGGAAACAATAATACTTGGTCACTATATCAAATGATTTGTGCTATTGTATTATTTCAATGTAACTTTGCCTTATTTCATTTATTTTTACCTTGTAGATTTTGTCATATTCTTCAGAGCGGCGCGCTGTGAGACGAGCCTCACTTGGGAGACGTAAAAGCCCACAGCTCACTGTGGGAGAAGCCTGTGCGCTGCTATCAAAATGATTTCTCTGTTTATCGCGGTTTACAAAGTTCAAACACACTTCCTTTACAATCTACATGTCTACCTTTGAGAGGATGGGTCAGAAATTGTGTTTTTGACAAAAAATATGCGCTTAATTGCGCTCAACCACGGCTTGTAATGTCACCAAGTGAGGCCAGCCTCAGGGGGGCGCATGTGAGCACAGAATTCGACTGCATTTAATTCCATCAGAAAGCCTCTTTCTTGTTCTCCATCTACTAAGGGCAGCTACATGTTTGGCTAACATACATGTAACACATTTTTACACATTTAATTTAAAATGCACTTAGGGTAATGTTCCAATGACGATAGGAATGATTAGAAAGAGAGGTAAAGGGTAAGACGGTTGATTTTAGAAATTGGATGTACCCTCGACTCGGCTGCAGCAAAACACGAGAGGAGTTTATGGAGGAGACACCATTTGTTTTACTTTTTAAAACTCATTGGACTTATTTCGAAATGGAGGATTACATATCTGTGCTCAAACTATTATATGGACTTAAACATGAAACTGGTCTGAACTGGTCTGTGCAGTTTACTGTATGTTTAAGGTAAGGCCCATTAAACACTTTTAAATGTGATTTTTCATACTTTTGCGTTTTGTATGAACAAACAATGCAGGCATGAAACATATTCTGCTGTAGCCAAACAAATTGTGAAAAAGCCGCTCTCTAGGTCCAGTTGATTTATATGATATATATGTTCCTCTGATTGGGGTGAAGTCAGTGCCACCAAACCTCACCGCACGTCACTGGTGTTTCCACATTCACAGTGACGAGTGTTTAGTGCTTACAGCACAGAGAGAGATGAAGAGTGAGGAGGACTCCAGCAGAAAAACAGCATTTTCCAGATGGAAATATTGGCACTATTTCAAACTCACTGCGGTTAAAGGTAAAAATGTGCACGTGGAGTGCACATTATGTTCCAGAACGAAAAGAAAAAGTAACGCAACAGTTACTTTTACTGGTAACCGTTACTTTTATAGTGGAGTAACTCAGTTAGTAACTCAGTTACTTTTGGGGAGAAGTTACTAGTAACTATAACTAATTACTTTTTCAAAGTAACGTGCCCAACACTGGTTAGCGGCACTGTACTTACAGATCGTGGCTACATCCACACGCAGCATCCATACGAGAGTATGGATGCTGCGTGTGGATGTTATGAATGGAACGGGGAAAAGGTGCACAAGTGTGAAATGGCACTTGTGTGTGCGTGTGTGCATGTGTGTGTGTGTGTGTGGGTGTGTGCGTGGCGCGCGCGGCATGAAAGTTGGCCCTGAGTTTACTAATACATTGGCGAGACGGACCCGCTCCTTTACACCGTGCGAATAGTGTTTAAAATAGCGTTATTAAGAGACCTCCCCTCTCCCCCTTTTCTTTTTTTAACCGACAGCTTAGACCGGTTAACGCTGTGACAGTCAACCACCGGTTAAACGGTCACCGATTTACATCCCTAAAACAAACATTCAAGATTACAGATAAAAAGAGTCTAGAACAGTGATGATCCAATAATGATCACAGAACAAACAAACTCCACTCAGAAAGACCCAGTTCCGACCGGGATTTGAACCCAGGAACTTGCTGAGAAGGATCAATGGCTCTATGATCTGTTGTTGGTGAATCATAACTTTGTAAAGTTCTTCTAGACAACAGCTGCTGCTGTTTAGGGCGAGACACAAATACTTTGAGTTGAAGAATTTGCTGAGATTAAGACAAGTTAGAAAAGCTAAATCTTTGTTCTCCCTGTAGGGAAGTGTGTCTCTGCATTTGACCCATCCTGCACCTCTGTCAGTAGCAGTGGTCGCCGTAGTAACAGGGACTCAGTTCCAGTTGTTGAGGTTCTTCTGGACCAGAACTGAGGATTTTAACTGTTCGGGATTCAAACCCAGTGGTTAGCGCTTGTGCTGAGAAGCACAATCTCTAACCACTCAGTCCCCAGAGGCGAGAATGTAATATGACTCAGAGAAACAGCACTGCTTTAAATCCTATTTATCAGATCAGTATCAGTTTGTTAATGTGAACCAAAACTCCTCGCCTTATTCGAAAGTAAAATTCGGCGAGCCACAAGGATCGATACTTGGGCCGATTCTCTTCACTTTCTACATGCGGCTGTTATCATAAAAAAAAAAAAACTATATTAAGCTGGGTCCTAAAAAGTCAAAAAGTGCAATCAGCAGCAGAGCATTTAGCTTCACGCTCCTACACAGTGGAATCAGCTCCACAGTCTCTGTGTTCAAGGCCAAACGCCTTGATGCTGCATATGGAGCCCCCTGCTGGAGAATTATAGTAACCATTCACTCCTCTTCTACTTTATCTGTCATCATTATGACGTCAGCTGTAGTCTGTTTATTGTCATTCACCCACTGTCCTTTTGTTTTTTTCATGGCGTGATGATGGGACCCCTGAACCCGGACTCCCGTACCCGGAACCCATCTGCACCTGTGGACTGTCTTTTCTAGTCTTCAGCCTCAGTCCTGGTTCTACAGCCTCAGTCCTGGATCTACAGCCCGTCCGTCTGTGGGAGTGGTTCCCCCCCCCTCTATGTGGGCCTCTCCGAGGTTTTCCCACTGGATTTTTTTTGAATGTTTTTTTCCAATGCATCTACATTTCGGGTCATCTTCCCCTTATGGACCTGTGTTTGAACAGTTTGATTCTCTGATCTGTAATGGCGAATTAACATCTTTGTAAAGTCCTCCAGGATAACTACTGTTGTGATTTAGGTTGATACAAAAAGCAATTGAATTGTAAATCAGTGTGGATCCAGGTCTTTAAGTCAAGCCTGATTCTATTGACAAAAACATGATTCATGTTGTCTTCTGTCGGATCACATTCCACCTGTCACTCAGGCGCAACTTTCAGCCTCCGTGTATCTGTATCTGTAATCCCGTTATCTCGCGCAGACTCACCGCGTCTCACCGCATCTATACATCCTGGTTCTCTCCCGTCTCGCTCCGTTCAGGACACAGCCTCTCCAGCGGGTCTCACACGGGCCTCTCCGACCTGCGCTATCTCCTCTGTGTATTTGTTATCGGGGTCGAGAGCCAAGTGTGTGTGTGTGTTTGCATGTGTGTTTGTGTGTGTGTGCATAAGCGTGCGTGTGTGTACGTGCATATGCATGTGTGTGTATGTGTGTGTGTGTGTGTGTGTGTGTGGGTGTGTGTGTGTGGCACAATACACGCTTATCAAACCGCTTCAGACGCGATTGTGCCTGTCACTCAAACACCTAAACGAAAAACGAGAAAGGAATGTTTCTCGTTTTTCTTGAGACGTGGGTTTATGAGCAAGAAAAAGGCCAGATGTGGACACACACACACACACACACACAGAGTGGTTTTTGGGAGTGTATTTCAAGCGACAAAAGTGGGATTAGTGTTGAGGAGAGAGAGGCTTGTCAATAACAGAAACCTGGAATAAACCCAATGGGAGAAAAGTGTTGATAAGAAGACAAAAGCTCTGGTCCTGATAGAAGAGGAGAGGAAAGAGAGAGAGGGGGACAGAAGAGAGGGGGAGAGAGGGGATCAATGTGAGAGAAAAGATGCAGGAAAGTGGAGATCGATATCAGGAGAGGAGAGGGGGCGGAGCTTGAGGACAAAGGGACAGGTGAAGAGGTGAGGCAGCCTCCGGGGTAAAGTCATCGTGAGAATACAGTATTTATGATGGGAGTTCATGTGTTTATAGGCAAGGCAAGTTTATTTGTATAGCACAATAAATACACAAGGAAAGTGTGTGTTAGTCCTCTCCTGGTCCTCCCCTAGTCCTCTCCTTGTCCTCTCTCCTGGTCCTCTCTTTGATACTCTCTGCAGACCCTAAACACAGCTATTCCAGTTATCACCCACACACAAACACCAGCGTGCAGACACACAACACTTAAGGTCTGTGTATACTCGCGTGTCGCAGTGCTTGCGGTGCTCGTGACCTCACATCATCACCAAAAGATCCTTGTGCTACCACCGTGCACCCTCGGATTGTTCTAACTATGCTGCCGGCAGAGAAGGTCCACTGTGAGTGGCCTGTGTGTGACTACGTTTTGAAGCACGGAGCGGCTGCAGGGAACATGGACGAGGCACTTCGGTGCAGATTGCTTCACAGCATCACAGTTGAAATTAGTTATGAAACAACGAGTCCCTAGAACAGTCACATAAATGTGTCCCTAGATACACACTTAATGAGCTCAAACAGCTTGTTTCTTCTTGTTTTTGTTCTAAAGAGGAGAAAGTAGCAGCGTAATGGTGTCCACTTTGGTGTCCCTGGCAACTCCTGCGAGATCGCCATCATGTGGTTGTGCTGTGGGATTACAACATTCTCTTCAAAACTACGCACGGGGGAATCAACCACGGGTCCAGCGCAAACGCCAACGCACACAGTGACGCCCGAGGCCTTCAGAGCGCGCCGGCCTCATTGTGTCGCGCTTTCATTCAGTTCATTCAAACGCCTTCGTATACATCGGTCTGGGGCGTATGTTTATTTAGAGTGCTTATAGGCGAGAAAGGGGGAGGAGAGGGGGGGTTAGGAGGGTTACGACTGCGACACAATTGCAACATACGCGCACTCCAAAACCCACGCTGCAAATTCAATTAGAGAAAGTAATTAGCAGATACAGGCGCGAGGCCCTGCTGGGGGAGGACTGGGGCATAATGAGGAGGCACTCACCTGTGTCACAGCTTCTGCACGAATATCAAATCATAGAAAAGACAAAAAGTATTAATGCAGCGATCAGAGAAACGTCTGCACGTGACGAATCCGGAAGAACCATTTTAAAGACTCATTTAAAGATAGCGCCGTCATTGGCAACAATGCACTGGCATTTATATTGCTAATTAAATGTGCCAATGAGGAAAGGGAGGCGTTAAGGTGGGGGTCTGAGAGAGGGCGCAGGGGTAAGGGGGAGGGTGGGTGAGAGAGGCGAGGCTGAGGGAGACGTGTTAAGGTGGGGGTCTGAGGGAGGCGGGGGTGAGTGTGGCAGTCAGGGTGAGGGAGGGAGGGGACAGGGTGAGGGTGAGGGAGGTGAGGGTGGCGAGGCTTCGGGAGGCGAGGGTGAGGGAAGCAAGGGTGAGGGAGGCAAGGGTTAGGGAGGCAAGGGTGAAGGGAGGTGAGGGAGGCGAGGGTAAGGGAGGCAAGGGTGAAGGAGGCGAGGGTGAGGGAGGCGAGGGTGAGGGAGGTGAGGGTGAGGGAGGCGAGGGTGAGGGAGGCGAGGGTGAGGGAGGCGAGGGAGGTGAGGGTGAGGGAGGCGAGGGTGAGGGAGGCGAGGGTGAGGGAGGCGAGGGTGAGGGAGGCAAGGGTTAGGGAGGCAAGGGTGAGGGAGGTGAGGGAGGCGAGGGTAAGGGAGGCAAGGGTGAAGGAGGCGAGGGTGAGGGAGGCGAGGGTGAGGGAGGCGAGGGTGAGGGAGGCGAGGGTGAGGGAGGCGAGGGAGGGGGTGAGGGAGGCGAGGGTGAGGGAGGCGAGGGTGAAGGAGGTGAGGGTGAAGGAGGCGAGGGTGAGGGAGGCAGAGGTCAGGGTGAGGGTGAGGGAGGCGAGGGTGAGGGAGGCGAGGGTGAGGGAGGCGAGGGAGGTGAGGGTGAGGGAGGCGAGGGTGAGGGAGGCGAGGGTGAGGGAGGCGAGGGTGAGGGAGGCAAGGGTTAGGGAGGCAAGGGTGAGGGAGGTGAGGGAGGCGAGGGTAAGGGAGGCAAGGGTGAAGGAGGCGAGGGTGAGGGAGGCGAGGGTGAGGGAGGCGAGGGTGAGGGAGGCGAGGGTGAGGGAGGCGAGGGTGAGGGAGGCGAGGGTGAGGGAGGCGAGGGTGAAGGAGGTGAGGGTGAAGGAGGCGAGGGTGAGGGAGGCAGAGGTCAGGGTGAGGGTGAGGGAGGCGGGGGCCAGGGGGAAGGTGAGGGTGAGAAAGGCAGCTATGAGGGTGAGGGAGGTGAGGGTGAGGGAGGCAGCTGTCAGGGTGAGGGTAGAGCGCGTGTCCTCTGAGCTGAAGGTTGTTGGTTCGAAACCCGACATGAGCATCATTGAGGCTCAGTCAAGTATTTAAGCAGAACCAGCCTCTTCACACTTTTGTCTTACTAAAAGAACCTTCTAATCCTTAAACACAAAAAGACATAATGCACTTTTTTTTACTGAGCTCAGTCCCCATTGGTGCTGCTGTGTCCTTGGGCAACACACTTCACCCGCCTCCCCGCAGTTAGGATTAAAGTAAGGGTTTGTCCAGTTCTGTAAACGCTTGAAATGTTGGCCTCATTTCATTCTTTTTTTGCACACGTTTCGGTGAAATAAAATTCCTGTTTCCTTCTGTCGGCCCTTCACACCGAATTTAACTTTTCCCATTGGTTTGTGTTGTCACCGATCGGCTCTTCGGACCAACATTCAACATCAGAAATCTCCATTCTGATCCTGAACACGGTGAGAATAGAAGCCCACAGATTGTCGTGTTAAAACTGCCTTATTGATCGGCACTTTCAGTTTGGATTCAGAAGTCTATTGCTTTCATCACCGCCACCTGGATCCTCAAACCAACCATTTTTAAAGTCGCCATCGATCGAACAATTTATAATTATGAACAGAAGAGAAAGAAGCAGCATTTCTGAAATCACTGTCAAAGCTGCAGTAACTCAGAGTCTCTGTCTCGATCGTCTGTGGACGGAATGTAAAGTGCTGTGTGTGACCTTGGTCAGCGCAATGCACGATATAAAGAAAAACCATACTTACAGGAGGGATGCCAAGTGTCTGTACTTTTTACTTACTAATATTTACACAATCATGGCTAGTAGTGCACTTGTCCTTGTTCTCTACTGCTCCTCTCTCCTGGTCCTCTCCTGGTCCTCTTTCCTGATCCTCTCCTGGTCCTCTCTCCTGATCCTCTCCTGGTCCTCTCTTCTGGTCCTCTTCTGGTCCTCTCTCCTGATCCTCTCCTGGTCCTCTCTTCTGGTCCTCTCCTGGTCCTCTCTCCTGATCCTCTCCTGGTCCTCTCTCCTGATCCTCTCCTGGTCCTCTCTCCTGATCCTCTCCTGGTCCTCTCTTCTGGTCCTCTTCTGGTCAGTAGCTTTAGTGCCAGAGGAGGCTGCAAGTCTGAACATGTGGGAGTGAAGACAGCTTCTTTACTCTTCTTCTTATTGAAATCTCTTTAGCCTCGGATGAATTTTAGTTTTAGGAATCCGGTAAAGACTTGGAAGACAAGGGGGAGACCAGGGGGAGACCAGAGAGAGACCAGAGAGAGACCAGAGGGAGACTCTACTCTCCCCTGATTGGGAGTGTTTCCACAGTTTAACCAGTACCAGAACCTTCTTTAGTCCTTCTTTGGTCCTGGTTCTATGCAGGCCGAGCTGGTACTAAAGTGTTCCATCAAATAAACCGATTCCTCTGCCCTCTGTGCTTCACTTGTAAACCACAAACGTTTTCTAAATCTATATCAGATTTTAAGTGAGCTCCTCCCACAGGGAGCCTTCACCTCTGGGTGCTCACAGATCTATTAAATGAAAGAGTGAGTCCTGGACACATCAGTGGGTTATTGATCGCTTCCTCCCGAGGCCCAGGGGGCGCTGACGATATCATTGCACCATCACTAATTACCACAGAGTAAAATCCTACATGAGGAGGGATTAGCCTCTGCACAGACCCCACACCATCAGTTCAATTAAGTTTATTTATGTATCTCTAAAATAAGTTACTATAGCAGTTGTCTCAGAGGAATTCACCAATGTGTGGATTCACCAACAACGGATCAGAGAATCAAACAGTTCCAACAAAAATAAAGGTAATAATAAAAAACACATAGGAGCCATTAGTCCATAACGAGCGAGAGGATCACTGTCCAGAAATGTCGATACTGTAAATGTTCATAATTGTCCACCCTCAATAAAAATACACTTTTCTGGACACTTTACAATTACATGTGGACAATTCACATGTAACTGTTTATTCAAAAAGAGACAAGAGGCCAGAGAGAAACCAGAGAGAAACCAGAGAGAGACCAGAGAGAGACTAGAGAGAGACCAGATAATGATCTGGGGGAGACCAGAGAGAGACCAGGGAGAGACCAGAGAGACCAGAGAGAGACCAGGGAGAGACCAGAGAGACCAGAGAGAGACCAGGGAGAGACCAGAGAGACCAGAGAGAGACCAGAGAGACCAGAGAGAGACCAGGGAGAGACCAGAGAGACCAGAGAGAGACCAGGGAGAGACCAGAGAGACCAGAGAGAGACCAGAGAGACCAGAGAGAAGCCTGATACAGCAGCTGTGTCACAAAACCTAAAACCTCGTCTCCAACCTTGAAATGAAGGTTGTTGAATTGTGGTTTTGTTTCTTTCCCCAAACACTTTTTGATTTGTTGAAACTCAGATTGTTTTAACCCTCAGAGCTGCCTCAAAATGGATCCTTGCTGCAGTTTAATTCTATTTTTAATTCCTTCAACTAATGTTATATTGAGTCTATACTTTTGCATCACAAACGATTCCAGAAGTCATTTTATTTTATCTGCAGAGTGAAATGAAATGGGGCCCAGCGTCATGAGAGCCGGGGCCCATCTCTCAGAGCAGCGGGACATCTCCATAAACATTTACATATTCTTAAAGCTGCATTTAGAGATTCATTTGAGAGAGAGACCAGAATCCATTCCACCAATCTCTGAGATCGGAGCCAAGAGCTGGAGGAGCGAGTGTCACAGTCTAGGCTCCGAGAGCAGAGGGAGGGGACCCACGTACGTGTGCTTTTAAGGTCTTTCTCTCTCTGATGCACGGGGTCAGAGGTCAGGGATAGGGATCGGGTCTGAGTCTGAGGCATCAGGGTCAGACCAGAGAGACGGTCAGGGTCAGGGTCTGAGTACAGTGGACAGTGGTGATGATCCAGGAGACTCAACATTCAACTACACTTATGGACAATGGTCATCTGCCCCTTTTGGACCAATATCAATGTGTTATCTGTTCTAGTTCTGGTGTTTGAACAATTTGACTCTCTGATCTATTCATCCATCCATCCATTCATTTTCTTCTAATTCATCCGTTGCAGCGGCGTAAGCAGAGACGCCAAGACTTCCCTATCCACACACACTTCCTCTAGCTCAACCGGGGGGACCCCAAGGCGTTCCCAGAAAGACATAGTCCCTTCAGCCTGTCCTGGGTTTTCCGTGGGGCCTCCTCCCGGTGGTGATCTATGATGGAAAATTCAACGGTTTTGTAAGATATCTCTACTGTTGTGATTTAGGGCAATACAATAATAAATGGAATTGAATCTATCGTCATGGCGTCAGGGACAGGGACAGGGTAAAGAAAGTAATAATAGATCAAAATGAAGCAGAAGTAATCTACATAAAATGTCTAATACAGTATATACAGTATAGGACACACTCTGTATAGTTTCACGCCTGCCTGTGTGTGTGGCCTTTGTCACTGTTAAAATGTTATAAAAGAGAAGACGACCCTCACTCAGTCAATCAGCCCTGGGAGTCACTAGTTGACATTTTGGGCTGAGATCTAAATATGCAAAATAGGAAATTCTTTCTTACAAGATAAAAGACAAGTTTGGGTCCGATGTGCTCACAAACTCACTTTCTGTTTGACCACATGCATTATTTATGTAGTATGAGTTGAGAGGTCTGTCTGTCTCTGTGTTCGCGCGTTTGTGTGTATGTGTGTCTGTCTGTGTGTGTGTGTGTGTGTGTGTGTGTAAAAAGTTAGGATCCCCAGCTTTAAGTCTATACTTCCTGCAAACATTTAGTCCCAGAGACTCCCTCCCAGCGGGACTCAGCGCGGGCCCATCTGCGCGCCTCTCCAAACCAGGCACACGTGTCAAAAAAGCTCTTTGATTTTCTATTCATCCAAAGTGGAGATAACTTCACTCCCTGGGCGCGCGCACTCCAAATCACCGGCTTTTGGAGGCGGCATGAAGAGTCCCGAGCCGCAGCCGCCGCCGCTCCGCCTGACGCAGTGCCAACTCTGTTCCTTCCTTCCGCTGCGCGCCCCTCCCGTCTCCTTTTCATCTCCCAATTCCTTCACTTTTTGTTGAGATGCTGAACTCAACATCTGCGCCACCAAATTAAATCATTTAGCGTCCATAGAGCGGAGAGGAGGCGAGGAGGAGGCAGCGAGGAGGCGAAGAGGAGGCGAAGAGGAGGCAAAGAGGAGGCGAGGCGATGAGTGACTAAAGCTGCCGTTTCCTCCCGGTGAGCCGCCGCTGTTTGGCGCTTGATTAAATGCGGTATTGTGAAAGAGGATCATCTGGCAGCTGCGCGGGCGGTGGCAGGGCATCAGGGGGAACAGGAGTGTGCAATCCAGAGTTCACCTGGTTCGTTTTCATTCAGGTAAACTTATAAACCGGGTTCATCAGGATCTTTTTAAAAATACTAAATATCTACGATTAACATTTGTTTTAGGTTTTACCACGTCACAACAATTCGTCAGTCACAGCCCTGGAGTTGGTTTTAGATCTATCCATGCTCATATCTTAGGCCCGTTTAGACTGAGATGCTTCGGAGGCGCTACAAAGCAATTATCAAAAACGTCCAGGCTCCTTATTCGAAGTGCACAGCGTTTACATGACAACAAAAAACAACGTAGTTCTAGCCTCCAGTAGGGGGCGGTGAAACTTTACAATACGACTCCCACCAGTAGAACCACTTCCTTCTCAGGCCACTGCAAAGACGTGAAAGAATGCACCAACATTATGTTGCATTTAACAGCAGCAGCGAAACTGAAACTAGAGCTTTGCGTGGTTTTGTTTGGACATAGAATCCTCCTCCTTTTAGCGCTCGAAGCACACGTAGCATTAGTTCTCCCGCCGCCATCAATCAATCAACCAATTTTTCTTATTAGAGCACTTTACAACACTAAAGCCGACCAAAGTGCTTTACAATAAAATCACAATAAATACATTAAAACATTCATACAATCAAAAAATAAAAGTTAAAAAGCTTAAAAAAAACATTTAAAAAGTGCCACCGTGCTAATGAGTGTTAAACGTGTTCAAAGTGTTCAAAGCCAGTCTGAATAAATACGTTTTGAGCCTTGACTTAAAAAGATCAAAGTCAGTAAGGCATGTCAGAGCTGTACTGGGTGCAGCCCTGACTGCCACCCCGACCCAGAAATGGATTAAGGGGAGGAAGATGGATGGAAACAGTTGAATTTAAAACCACATAAATGTGTTGTGAATCCACAACTTTGTAAAGTCGTCTGAGACACTGCAGAGTAAGCAAAATAATCCTCCATATTTCTCTTTTAAAACGTTCTGTTGTGATTAGAAATGTGATTTAGTTTAATGAACTCTAAAAAGCGCTGTATAAAACTGATGAGGGACAAATGTGAAGCCTCGTTTTTCAGTCACAGATTTCACAGATTCTGAATCGTTGCCAAATTTTCCACATTTCACACACGGCCTTCACACAGTTCTCCATAATGTTTGTCACCTGTGCTCCCTCTCCTGTGGCGGCAACACACACAGCACATACACAACGCACACACAACACACGCGCTAAACACAAGCAACAAACACATACATAACACACACAACACCCAAATGCACAACATACACACACACACACATGCACAACACACATGCACAACACACATACGACCTCACTTAGCACTCAGAGACAACATCATCGCAGCGGCGCGTCAGTAAAACGGGTCCAAAAAGCAGGGGGGGGGGCAGGGTGGGGGGGATCTGAGTGCCGACGGAAACAGCGGGAATTTTCACCAAAAGTGAATGAAATGATTTAATGTTTGCATCAGGCCGGGCCCCGGGGGGACACCAGCGCTGTACTACACACAGACGGCTAATTGACACTGGGTCAAATGCCTCTCAGCTACAGACCCCACCCCTCTCCCTTCTCCTCCCTCCTCTCCCCCCTCCAGCAGGCCTCGCTCTCTCCTGCAGATCCAGAAACAGCTCCTGGTGCGACACAAAGGCCCCCGCTGTACCCTGATACATGATAAACGCCCGGGGGCCCGGGTTTGGGAGCATAGCGGAGGAGTCAGGACATTCCCATGAGCTCGTCAACAACACGGAGAGAAATACAGCTTTTTGATACGATTAGCAAATGGACAGAGGTGCAGTTTATGACAGAAAAATGCTATTAGTCACATTAG